CGAGCTGGCTTACCAGGGAGGATCTTAACCTGCGTCTGTCTGGAGCAGGAGAATCATGGCGACTCTTCCTCTAACCTTCTTTCTCCCAGAATTCTCTTCTGTATACTCCGCCTACCTAATTTTCTATCCAATAAAATGGGCCAAGGCAGTTTCTTTATTAATAAGAAACTATTCCCACATCAGTAAGGAGGCTGTGCAAGCCCAGGAAGAAAGGGAGTGTCGTTGAGCCCACCCTGTCGCTATCCACAGACACTCTTCTTGGGGGATGCTCTGTTGTAGCCTTTGCCTTCGCCACTTCCCATGGCAGTGGCTCAGTCCCTTCTAGCTTTGTTCCCAGGGCACTCCCAGTTGTCACGGCAGCCAGCCATCCCAGAACCCCCATAGCTCATGTTTAGAGGGTCCCAGTTTGCTGCATTTTTCTCCCATTTTCTTGAGTCCTTTACCAGCCCTCTGTGACTTTCCTCTGACTGACCCAGTCTTCCTGCCTTGCAGATGGACAAGAGGAAAGACCCCTCTTCTGTGGATATTAAAAAAGTGCTTCTGGAGATGCGCAGGTTTCGCATGGGGCTCATCCAGACGGCCGACCAACTGCGCTTCTCCTACCTGGCTGTGATCGAGGGTGCAAAGTTTATCATGGGCGACTCCTCAGTGCAGGTCAGTGCTGTTCTGCTTAGCACACGTGTGTTGGTGTTGGGACTCAGTTTGTAGCTGAGGATAGACCATGCAACCTGTGCACATACATCAAGACTTATCTTTGAAAGTAACTCCAGGTATAAAAGATCCAACTCTGGGGCTGGAGAGATGGCTCAGAGGTTAAGAGCGCTGACTGCTTTTCCAGAGGTCCTGAGTTCAATTCCCAGCAACCACATGGTGGCTCACAGCCATCTGTAGTGAGATTTGGTGTCCTCTTCTGGCCAACAAGCATACAGACAGACAGAACACTGTATACATAATAACTAAATAAATCTTTAAAAAAAAAGGTCCAACTCTGTTGAGGTCAAAGGAAGTAACTCCCTTTTGCATGTGCCATTGCTAGAGTCACTAAGTGGGCTGCCCTTCTGCCTGCCAGGTGCCCTGCAGAGCCCTCAGCAGAAGAGCATGCTTGGTTCCCTAAAGACTGTCCCAGCCCTTTGGAGATTGCAGGAGTCCAAGGCCTGCCTGGCCGCCTGAGACCCCCCACCTCAGAAAGAGCAGATACCTCCCAGATAATTGCCTAGAACCAAGACCCCCAGAGCTACTGCTGAGCTGTTGGCTGCTCACCTGGGGAGACCCAGAACAAGTACTCATGGGCTTCTGTCACTGTACTCCCAGGATCAGTGGAAGGAGCTCTCTCATGAGGACCTGGAGCCCCCACCTGAGCATGTCCCCCCACCCCCCCGGCCACCCAAACGCATCCTGGAGCCTCACAATGGGAAATGCAAGGAACTCTTCTCCAACCACCAGTGGATGAGCGAGGAGACCTGTGAGAACGAAGACAGCCTGGCCAGAGAGGAAGGCGGAGACCCCTTAAGTGCTGTGTATAGCATGAGCAGGTGATGGAGGGGCCTCGATCCTGGCAGAAAGTGCCCATTGCTCCTGGGTGACAGGTTATAATGGGATTCCAGTGCCACCTTGTGGTGCTTGTCTGATCTGCTCAGTTTAAACTGGGCAGGTGTTGCAGCTTGCTTGCTCACCCTGGTTGAGCACCCACTGGTAATCGAAGCACTGAGCTGATAGATAGTAGACCTGTGCTGCAGACCCTCCACTTGGAGAAGGGGCGTGTGTATAGCAGTGTGTGGTGGAGTAGGGATGATAAAGAAAGTATATGCCTGTAGGAAGTAGCACGTGAGCCAGCTCCTGGGGCAACTGTCTTTCCTAGAGGGCAGTTTGGAGGTATGGCACACACAGTCTGGCTCTCAGTAGGACCCACCCAAAGCTCTGAACACAGTGTAGAGAGGCGTGGCTAGCTGCACTCTTTCTAGCATCCTTGGTCATAGAAGATACAGAGCTACCAGCGTATCAAGACTAAGGAAGCCATGTTTCCCCTGTAACTGGGATATGGACCTGAGCTCATCTTTGGCTACAGCTAGGAGTTTCCATTTCTGATAAAGCACATACATTGGTGGGCTGCAGGTGACTTGAATGAAGCCCAGCCCTGGCCATGGGTATTGCCCAAGGTCCCCAAGAGCTAGACAAACAGACTGCTGTCTGTGCTGACCTTCCCACCCGGTGCAGCATGAATGGCTTGCTTCTCCAGAATTCCTCCTTCGTGGTAACGCCCTTGTCCATCTTCTCGAGGTGAGTAACCTGCCTCTTCCCCTCTCCCCAGCATGAGTCAAGACACTGAAGTTAGAAAACGAGTGGTGGCTGGAGGTCTTCAGGGCGCCCAGGCATCTGCTCCCACCAAGGAAGAGTTGTCCCCAACGGACGAGGAACAAAAGGCACACTGGCCAACTCACTGGAAGCCCCTCCTGGTCAACGTGTGCATGGCCACGGCCCTGGCGACTGGTGCGTACCTCTGCTACCGGGTGTGCTTTCACTGACGGACTGCTGTGAGCGCGAGTGCGCTGGGCACTTCTGCTGCCCAGCTTAGGATTCGGTCTGCGGCGTCTGACCCACTGTTGGGAACAGCTCGCAAGCCTGTGGTGGAACTGGAAGGGCCAGCCCCAGGAGGGGCATCAGTGCACTGGGCTTGGCAGGAGCCCCATGGTCCCAAGAACAGTCTAATCTCAGGGCCTTAACCTGTTGAGGAGAAGTAGAGGAAATGCCAAATACTCTCACTCACTCGCTCTCACCTCACTCCTCCCCTTTCTCTCTCTGTTCGTTTGTTTTTGGAAAAAAAATTACAACACATTGTTGTTTTTAACATTTTATAAAGGCAGGTTTTTGTTATTTCTGGGGGGAAGAAAACGCTAGGCACTCATGAGATTCTCTTGTGCCCTTTTGCGTGTGATTAGATTCCTGATTTACATCGATTTCCCAAATGGTCAGGATGTAAAGCTCCTGCTGGCTTGGGCACCCCCGCTGTGTACTCTGAGCTGCCTGGTGTCCTGGAGCCGCCCTGTTGTGAGGAGAGCAGCATGCGCTGCCTCTAAACAGCAAGCCCAGCTCTGCTTTGCTCAGGTGTCCCCGCTGCATTTCCAAACTCACCTGCACCCTCCCCCTCCTTGTGACAGCCATCTTGCTGATATCCCTGCCCTCAACATCCCATCCCTATAAGTGGGTTTCCCTGGGGCCCTGCCTCAGGGTCAAGTTCATCTTAGGTGGCTGCCAGCACTCACCCTGCGGTTTCCATTTCATTTGGAAAGCAAGCGCCCACACTGCTGAGCAAGCATGACTGACAGGAGGAGGAAGGAGCCTTGGTGTCATGGAAGCCACCTCGCAGGACTGTTACCAACCTCTGAAACATTCAGTCCTGTGCCGGTGACCATCCTTGAAGGCATCAGCTGATTTTTGCAAACTGCAAAGACTTTTTCCTTAGTGGTGCTTTTCAGAGTCAGGACTCATAAAACACCACCAAGCTTGCCATGGCTGCCTCCAGTGCTGTAGTGGCCAGGCTGTGGGGAGGCGCGCGTTCTGGAGCATCCAAGGCATGTGCTTTCATGGGGTTGCTACCCAGCAGCACAGCTTGCCCTCCAGCCTCTTGGCTGCAGGCCAAGTGGCCATGCCGGGGAAGGAAAGCCACTAGCCAGCCGAGCAAGCTGCCGGGGAGGCTTGTTCACACAGAGCCACCACCTCCTTCAGCCATGTATCTCCCTTTCTGCTTTATCCTTCCCTGGAGTCCCAAGCCCACGGTGGTGAGGAGTGCAAGGGAACAGCAGAGCAGAGCACTGGCTCAGGCAGCACGAGGCCCCACACCTCCCTAGAAACCGCCCCGCTCTTTATTTATTCACCTTTCCCAAAGGCGTCCCCACTGCGTGAGCACGTCCTTGAGCTGATGATGTAAGGTGTCAGCCTGGCACCTAGGGCTGTCAAGTACAGTATCAGATGAGTCCTGGGCTTGAGACTGACGGGAGCCACTGTACAGCCAGAGCTGGGGCCAGGAGCCGGGGCTGTAGGACATTGGGAGCTATTGAACTTCAGGAACATGGGACAGTGTGGGCATGTGTAAAGGCCCTGTGGCTACTGATGTGATGTGCGAGAATGAGACCTGGACTTTCTCCCCATGACCTTGTAGATCCTGTTCCCAATCTCCGCTTCCCCTGAGAGTTCGAAAACATGAAGTCTCCTGCCCTGGTGGTACCATGCTCTTGACATGGGAAATTTTGATACTCACTCAATAGCAGCCCATGTCCAGCCACCTCTGTATACTCTGACCAGATATGGCCATTGTTGAGTAACTGCCTCTCTGTGGAAGCAGTTCTGTCCAGTGCAGATACTGCCTCACTCCGGCAGGACACCCCAGGCTCGCTGGCCTGCCCTGCCAAGCCCCACCGCACCTCAGACATTCCACGGTCACACCTCATTCCCTGGACATTAGGCAAGCAGGGCCCTTCCACCTCTGGAATCAGTCCCTCCATTTCCAAGTTCACGCTCTTCTGGAGCAGGCCAGGATTGGAAGCAAGGGAACAGCCTGGGTGACAGTCCTTAGAATCAGCTGCTGTCATCACTGGCCCGGGTCACCTTGCCCAGAGGCGTGTCATTCTTGAGCCTGGTAGAGACTGATGATGGTGCTCATGACTCTTCCTGTGAGGGACACAAGACCTCCACATTGGGTGGCTTTTTTACAATAAGAAGCGAAGGCAGCTGGAAATCCAAACTGCCTCTTGCCAGCATTTCACATTTTGCCTTTCACCCAGAGAAGCCAGCACAGCCACTGGTGGGAATGGTGGTGGCCTTGCCCACAGAGCCTGGGGAGGTGGCACAGCCAGGGTCCAGGCTGGGAGCAGTTGGCAGTGGACTGTACCTGTAGTAGTGGGGTATGTACAGTAGCCTTCTAGGTGGATGTCCTGGAGAACGGGCACGCTCCACCCCATTGCCTGTGTTGAAGGTAGCAAGCTGCTGTATGCCTTAAACCAATATTTACTCAGCAGGTGGTTTTTTTTTTTTTTTGGATGGCCATAGAATAAACCATTTTTACAAAAATAAAAACCAACAACAACAAAAAAGTTTTCTGATATAGTACCTTTGCAGGTGTGTGGGGTGGTGCATGCCCCGGTGGGGGTGTCTCAGGGTTTTCTGTGACCTAACAGAACTGTCGGACTGCACCATTTCCAACTTGCCGAATCACTAATGGGTCTGCATTTTAGTTGCAACAATAAATGTTTTTAAAGAACATAGATGTGAGATGCTTCCTGTTTCTTTACCTGACAGACCTGAGCCAGGATGGGCAGTCCTTGACTGCATGAGATAGATGTCTGCCCTGCAGGGTTAGCGTGCTCTGGGTTGCGAGTGCTAGTAGCTGGCCAGCCTGCCTTCACTCGGGACCTCCACACTGTTCAGGAATCTGCTCTTTGGCACCTTGCAGTACTTGAACAAGGCCTACAGGCATCACTGGAGTCCCTGTTTCAGGCTCCACACCACACCTCGGCCAGCTGCCTGTCACACACCATGGTCATCCCGTCTCAGGACATCCATAACGCCACATTTGATGTATACATGACAGAGATTGAAATGAGACCCAAAAGTTCATGTACAAGACTCAGCATATAGGGTCCCCAAGTGGCTGTTTCAGTTCAGACTTGGCGATGACAGATGTAGTAGAAAGCACAGCCCTACTTTAAAGCCACCACAAGAGGCAGAGAGATCTGTATGTTCAAGGCCAGCCTGATCTACAGGGCAAATTCCAGAACAGCCAGGGCTACACAGAGAAACCCTGTCTCACCGCCTTCCCCCCCCCCTCCCCGCAAAAAAAAGTAGAGCCCTGTACCTCTCAGTTTCACAATTTCTTGTGAAGTGGTCCCTGCTATGATCCTGGCGCCCCAGAACCATGGAAGTGCTGTGCCCACTGTCCCAGCGGAAAGCTTCAGGTATGGGACAAACCCCGTCAGGTAAAGGCTTGCAAAGGCCTGGGGTATTCTCAAAGTGTCCCCAGAGGAGGGCAGTCTGCTATGAGCGTGGGAATCAAGTGTAGCGAGGATCCCCGATGGGTTCTACAGAGTCCTGTGGTGTCTGCCACCCTCTCCCGCCTGGTTATACAGACACAACCTTATCTACGTGGGCAGTACGGTAAACCATACACTACAGAGGTTTTAATTGAGATTTTAGAGAATGAACATGAATGAGACAAATAAATACCAAGATAAGTCAGCACACATGGTCCACCTAACTAAATGGGGGTGTCTAAGTCAGCCCTGAGAGCCACTCGGCCCCTCATGGACATCTCAGATGCCCAGTTTCAAGTGTTTTACCCACTCAAGTAGGAAACCCATCGTGTGCCTCCATAGCCACCTCAATGAAAACCTCACCTCATCTCTGGCTTCTGAAGCAATTCATCTAACGGGCAGCAGGTTGGCATGCGTCAGAGGTGGGCCTGACCACTGGCTAGCTGTCCCAGAGGGTGTGCAGGGAGCTTGCATTCCATGCATGTCTGTCTTGAACCCTTGGATCCTCAGCCAGCACCAGCCGCCCCTGGCACTGCACCCCAGGAAGGCAAGACAAGCAAAAATAGCATTTGGGGTAGGCCACATCCTTGGAGGTCCCACATACCCCTTCTTCCTGCTTTGGAGTACAGCACTGTGCCCTTGGGCTGGGTGCTGACCCAGCTCACACTTGTGAGGGAGTGCCTGGGGTGCTCAGTTCAAAACTCGCCCTATGGAAGCCAGGAAGCGTCAAGGAAGAAAGGTGCTGGATTGGCGCTCGTTGGTCACAGCTTAGAAAATTGTGATTTCAACATCTGCTTCCTGGTAGAGTTCTTGTTCAGACTGGAGCTTGTCCATCTTCTCAAAAGCTAGGCGGCCCTCCTCACCTGGAACACAAAGACATCCATCACCAGCTCGTCACCACCTCGGTGTTCTGCTTCCAGGTCTTGGTATCTCTAGAGGGGCAGGACAGTAGTCGGTGGGGGTCCCTTGCCCTTGCTGTTGACTGAACCATCCACACCTGAAACAGCCTTCTATGCCAGAGGTCTCCTGAGCACTGGCCTGACTTTGCCTCTGCCCACCGCTTGCCAAGGACCATAAACGAAGTGGGAGAGGGGGAATTACACCTTAGCTGTCAACCTGCTATGAGGGGAACCTGCACTGAGCAGAGGCTGCAAAGCACAGGTAGCCTGCAGCCAGTCTCTAGCATCCCTGGAACCCCACTGTGCTGCCCAGGGTGGGGGTGGGGAGGCTTTAGCTGCACTTTACCAAATGATAGTGTTGCTTCCCGCGCTGCCACCCGCACGGCCTCCAGGTCCGACCGACACAGGCTGGCGATTTGTTCAATGCTTTCAATACCCTATGAGGTCAGGAAGAAAAAGGTTTGTTAGGCAGCAGATAGACCGCACTGCGTCATCCCTGCATGCCAACCCTGGTGTTCCTGGGGGGCCTGTCTGTCCTTCTCTAGAGACCTCCAGGCTTCCACACCCCAGTGCAGGCCAGCAAGCAAGGCCACCATCAGCTTGTCTGTCGACGTCATCTTTTTTTTTTTTTTTTTTTTTTTTGATTTTTCGAGACAGGGTTTCTGTGGTTTTGGAGCCTGTCCTGGAACTAGCTCTTGTAGACCAAGCTGGTCTCAAACTCAGAGATCCGCCTGCCTCTGCCTCCCGAGTGCTGGGATTAAAGGCGTGCGCCACCACCGCCCGGCTGTCGACATCATCTAATACACCCTGACTGTCCTGTACTCTGGAGGCCCAGGGCCTGATTGCCATACATCCACAGACACCGCTCCCACGCAACCTTTGACCCCTTCACCCTTAGCAGGGATCCTCCTGTTGGGGCAGTGCTGAACGAGTGGGGGCAGTGGGTTTTCTCTACACTGAGCCAACTCGCATGTATAAGTAGGCAACAAGGTTAGACAAGACAGATCCCCAGCATGGTCCTCTTCACCTCCACCGTGGGAGTGCAGGGACGGTGGGGAAGGCATGGCTCACAGGCTTGGAAGCTGTCCTGTGTCATCCAGCCCAGGATGAGCTGGAACCCAGTGTGGCTTTTTATAAAACCTTATTTACAAAAATGCTCGTAGTGGCATTTATGAGACAGGGTCTCACTATGAAGCCCAGGCTGGCCTCGGGTCATGGGGATGTGCCACCATACCTGGCTTTTTCCCCTCGATGCATGAAAACTGCATTTTTCTGTGGTTGAGTGCACATGTGCGCTCCCCTGCACACACGATGTGAACAAAATTAGAATTTACAGGTGCCATCCACACCATGTTTTGAGATGAGGCCTCTCCTAACCTGGAGCTCACAAGTAAACTATGCTGTCTAGCTGGCTAGTCCCGGAATCCCCTGCTTCTACCTCCCATGCACTGGAATGACAGGTGTGGGCCACCATTCGGAGCTTTTCTGTGGGGATTCCACTCAGTCCCTCGTGCTTGTGGGCACGTAGCCCTCGGCTCATGTAAAGTCATGTTTCGTAGCAAAGTTCAGGGTACACATGTCCCTGCAAGCAAGAAGAATATGTGCCAGAGGTGGCCAGCCACTCCTGCTGAGGTCGAGGGTGACCGGGCAGCGAGGGTGACCTGGCAGCTTTCCCATTCCTGTACCTTGTCTTTTTCTCATTCACAAGAATTTATCATGTTACAACCTGTGGAGCTGGGCAGGGAGTTCCTTGGTGTGGGACCTCTGCTGTTGGAGTCTAGGGGGGCTGGCTGTTACTAGGGTGTCAGCTATTGCTACTGGTGATACCATCTACTACACACACACACACACACACACACACACACACACACACGCCGTTCCAGTGAAAGCGTTTTGAAGCTGCTGCTGCTGCTCCAGCCCTCACCATGGGTGGCCTCCTGTCAGTCACTAGGGAAGACCAGACTCACCCCAAGCTGCTGCAGCGCCATGCACGCTGCCTGCTGGAGCTTGGTGTCACTGTCGTTTAAGGCGTTGGTGTAGTACAGCAGAGCCTGGGGGAGGACACCAGGATTAGACAGAGGTCAGGGCAAGCAGGTCCCCAGCTGCTTTAGTGACCCAAACTCAGCCCTTTGTCAGGAGGAGGGCTAACCCCAGACGGAACACTAGCTGGTTAGTAAGTGAATTCAACAAAACTTTGTTGGCTTTGATTTTCAAGACAGGGTTTCTGTGTGGTCCTGGCTGTCCTGGAACTCACTCTGTAGATCAGTCTGGCCTCAAACTCAGACACCTGCCTGCCTCTGCTTCCCATGTGCTGGGATTAGAGGCATGTGTAATCATGCCCAGCTCCACCTGAATTTGAACCTGCAGCCCATGTTGTGGAGGGAGAAAACTGCCTCCTTCAGGTTGCCCTCTGACCTCCAGACTCATGATGTGGCACACATACTCACAATGAATGAATAAACAAACAAATATTAAAATTCTAAAGACAGCCCTCGGAAAGATGCTGTGCAGGTCTGAGAGACCAAGCCCAGGCTGTGACTTGATGCTGGGTATATTCTTCAACCTGTGGGTCTCAACCCATCTCGGGGGGTCACATATTAGATATTCATATTACAACTTATAACAGTAGCAAAATTACAGTTATGAAGTTAACAATGAAATAACTTTATGGTTGAGGGTCACAACATGAGGAACCGTATTAAAGGGGAGCAGTGTTAGGAAGGTTAGGAACCACTGCCCTAGTGACTCCAGCCCCACCTCAGCCTTCTTAAAGCACTTGATCTCAAATCTGGTAAGTGTAGCCCCCATCACCCACTTTATACTCTTTTTTTTTTTAAGATTTATTTATTAATTATGTCTACAGTGTTCTGTCTGCCTGTATGCTGCCTCAGATCTCATTACAGGTGGCTGTGAGCCACCATGTGGTTGCTGGGAATTGAAATCAGGACCTCTGGAAGAGCAGTCAGTGCTTTTAACCTCTGAGCCATCTTTCCAGCCCCTCCCACCTTATACTCCTGCACACCCAGCCAGAATGCCCATGCGTGCACCACACCTTTTCCCGGAAGCGCCTATTCCTGGCTGCACTAGCCAGGCGTGATCTGGCAGCCCTGCACAGCCTCGGCGGTCCATCCAGCTGCAGCAGGGCCCAAGCTTGAAGAGTCTGGGGCAGGGGCTGCAGCTGGCCCAGGCGTTTCCCGTGCAGCTTCCTCAAGCCCTTGGCTGGACTCGCACAGTGCAGCTCCTCAGTGAGAGTAACTGAAAAGGAAGGGGAGGCCAGTACCATGAGCTGCCCTAGCCGCAGGGGCAGCTCCACGGCAGAGGGAGCATCGCCACATCCCGACAGATGCTTCTACAAACGGATCTGACATGCCCCTGAAAAATGAACAGAACCACTGGCCAGGCTGGGCGTGTGGTACACACCTGTAATCCCAGCACTTGCGAGGCTGAGGCAGGAGGATGGTGAGTTTGAAGACAGGCTAGGCTACATAGGACACCCTGACTCAGAAAGAAACCAGATGGGCAGACTTTGCGGCTCCCATCTCCTCTCCCTGGGGCTGCTCTAGGCTGTTCACCTCCCGCTTTTGGTTCTGACAGCTACAAGGAGAGCTGCATGCATCTGGTTTGTGGCCCAAGCCAGAAGGGACAAAGCCCCCAGGGTGGGCTGTAACTTGCTTCCAGGTCATCGCCATGGCCAGGCCCTACCTTCCTTGGTGAGCTGGATGAGGTGTTTCTCCAGGTCAGAGACACTCTGCCGCTGAAGGTAGCTGTGGAACTGGAACCAGGTGACCATCTGCTCTTCCTGGAGCCCCGCTGTGGCCAATAGCCCACCACAGCCGACCACCTGCTCCAGGAGCCTGCGACACACTGGCAGAGGGAAGGGCCCTGAGAGGAGCTGCACGGCCTCCTCTAACAACCCTTCAAGGCTTGGTGGGAGGCACAGGGATTCGCAGCCTGCTTTCCCAGGGGGCAGGACAGTGGGGATATGCATGGAAATATACGTATAGGGCCCGAACTGTGACCACGCCCCCAGTTGTAGCACCACCATTTCCTGGGGAAAGTGGCAAGCAAGAAGGACGCTACCTATTTCCAGCTGGCCAGGGTACTTCCCTCGGACTCGATGTAGGAACATCTTCTTAAGCTGGCTGAGGAGTGTAGAAGCAGGGCAAGCCAGGACGCTGCCAGGCTGGGTACATCCTTGCCACAATGCCAGGCCACCCTTCCTGTGAGGAGTCTGTGGGATGACTGAGAGCGAGCAGCTGCTCAGCAGCCTGGCGGGAGCAGCCACAGGCACCAGAAACCCCTTCACCAGGACCCGAAGCTGGAAGTGAGGGCAGGAGACCCAATACAGGGACCCCCCCTCTCAGGCCCATGTCGCTCCAGTCACCTTCCTTGTCCCCACTCATAATGTCAGCCACTCACAGCCACCCCAGAGAGGTCCGCAAGGGTAGACAAAGAACTGAAGTGACAGCCGTTGCTCCTTGGTGGAACCATCAGGATGTGAGTGGGGATGGCTTTGGTGAACCCGACAGTGGCCTCCCCAGTATACAGAGACACACGAGTAAGCAGAAGCCCAGCCAATCCACCCATTCATGGAAGGGAGAGAGAGGCAAGGCCGCCATGGGTATGAGGCTGGCTGCTACTTACTCTCTTCAACCGACCTGGCCTTGCTGACCTGCTCCGAGTCAAGGACTGAAATCACTTCCAGAACCTGCCTTTGCTGCTCTGCTTCCTCCAGGAGGCAGTCCTGGACCATCCGTGACAGATTAGGGGAGGCCAGCTTCTAGAATCAGCCGGGATGCTCTGGTTAGCCTGACATGTACGTCTCTGCTCTCAGCTGCCCACACTTGCTCTATCCCAGAGGTGGCTTCTACCATGGCCTAAGCACCCTTCTCTTCGTTAAGCTGAGCCCCCAGGGTCAGCCTGCCCAAATTCAGCCAACCACCATCACAACCACCATCACAACCACCATCACAAAGCAGCGGGAAGACGGCCAGGCCCATCTCCCAGCATTTGGGCCCCTGGAAGTAGCATAGCCTGAAGCCCACCATGTTCAATTCCTGGGGTTGAACCAGTTTGGACTGGTGTGGCACCTAACATGTATACCAGAACCACCCTCTCAGTTCAGGGCTTGACTCCCTGAGACCCAACATAGCTCCTTACCTCCTGCCACAGAGTCTCCATGGCATCGGCTCTCAGAGTGGCTTCCTTTTACCTGACCCCAAACTTTGCCACCTTTGAGCCCAGAACCCACCCCAGCCAAGCCCTACCCTGACACCTGAAGCAAGGCCTTGCAGACTTGAAGGTGGACGGTGAGCAGTGTGTCCAGCTCCGGGACACCGGCTGTGAGCTCGCTGGGTGACACCTTCAATGATGGCCGAGGAGGTGGGGGACTGTCCTTCCTGAGGAGACAAAAGAAATGAGTGACCACTGGGTTAGCAAGGGAACCCCTTCCCTGACCGCCACCCCACCCCAGAGCTTCAGATCATAGAGTTGGGCCCCAGGTCCGGGAGTTCAGTGGCGGGAAGGGGGAGAAAGTTGGCTGGAAATCCATCAGGTATGGAGGGCAGTGCTACCCAGAGGACCCGAGGCTGTGCTCCTGGTTGGTCGCCAAAGCCTCATTTTGTTCTTCTGTGAAGTGGGCAGGAAGCCCAGACTCAGGGTGGGGATATCATGGCTCACAGGGCTGAGCTGAACCGCCACCCCTCCCCCAAGGCCCAACTGGCTCATCAGACTTGGAATCTCCCTGTGGGACCACTGGATGAGAGAAAGAAATGTCCCCTTCTGTCTGGCTGAGGTCTGGGGACAGAAGTGGCACTGGGCCATCAGCATAGGTAGCGAGGCCGATGGATGGTGGTCCAGAGTGAATGCTGGGCAAGACAGTTACTAGGGAGGGTGGTCAGCATGGCAGCCACTGAGGTCAAGGTCAGGTTTTTGCTGTGTGCTGCTGTTACTGCCTGAGATCACCTCAGTGGCCATACTAGCTATGTGGGGACAGTGATATGGAAAGGAGGCACCGAGCACAATAAAACTAGACGTGATGAGACCAGCGTGGAGCTACAGCTGCCCAGAGGGGTTCCCATGGGTGTGCACTCACTCGGGAGCCTGGGAGCCCCCAAACAGGGACAGCTCATCACTGGCAAGGTCGGCATTCAGAAAGGCGAAGCTCTCTAGGATACAGTCCATCAGACTCTGCACTGATACCGGTTCCGGCTGCACCCCTCGCGGCTGTGGAAAAGTACCAGGATGACGGCCTTGCCCTCCCACAGCCGTCCAGGATGTGACCGCCCCAGCCCCCTCCCCCCATCGGCCCCAGCACAAGCCAGCTCAGCAGAGTGAGTCTGGGATGTGGCACTTCCAGTGTCCCATCAGCATAGCCTGAGACAAGGTCACCAGAGAGACAAACCTGTCCCCAACACCCATGCGACAGACCACAGGGAGAGAGGCTCAGGTGTGGACTGCGCAGGGCAGGGCTTCCCCAACAAGGAGGCGCCACTCCCTCCCAGCAGACACCTGCCCCTGTGCTGCTGCCCAATGGCTCAATGGCTCATTTCTCAGCAAATGTAGAAACTCACACTGAAAGTCACCCTGAGGGGATTCAGACAAGGACGGACACAGTGACAAGCACATGTGTGCAAGTGTGTACACAGACACGGATGACAGTGACAAGCACATGTGTGCTAGTGTGTACACAGACACGGATGACAGTGACTAGCACATGTGTGCATGTATGTACAGACACGGATGACAGTGACAAGCACACGTGTGCATGTATGTACAGACACAGATGACAGTGACAAGCACATGTGTGCATGTATGTACAGACAGATGACAGTGACAAGCACATGTGTGCATGTATGTACAGACAGATGGACACAGTGACAAGCACACGTGTGCATGTATATACACAGACACGGATGGACACAGTGGGTGCTTATGAATTGAGGTAGTTATGTCAGCAAATTAGCAAACATTGAGCCATGACCCCAAGGCCATACTGCAAACTCCCAGCCTGTAAGTACAAGGCCCTCGTGTGCACTTTTAATACCTGTTTCTTTCCCAGTGTATGTGTGCATGTGTTGTGCATGTTGTACATATGTGCTTGTGTGTGAAGAGGGGCCATACAAGAACAACCTTGGGTGTCATGCCTCAAGAGCTGTCACCTTGTTTTACTGGTGTGGTCTTTTTTTTTTTTTGTATGTTTGTTTTTGAGGTCCCTCCTGCTGGGACTTGGAGTTTGCCAGTTAGGCTGGATTGAGTGGGCACTGAGCCCCAGGGAGCCTCCTGTCTCCACATCCCAGTGCTAAAGTGCTTGCCACCACCAGGCCTGCCTTTCTTTGTGTGGGTCCTGGAGGGTGAGGCCAGGTCTCCCCAGCCCTGACGACAGCGACAGCGTAGTTAACAGTGTGGTGGCAATACCCTTGGGCTCCTGTCAGCGCTCTGCACCTCCCGCCCGAAGGAATCATCTAACTCTGGGAATTTTACCACCAGTCATGCCGAGGCTTGTGCTCAGGACCACGAGCCCACAAGCAGCCCTGCACATGAGGCCGTGCACACAGCAAAACAGCACAGGTGGCCGAGCATGTGGTGGTGACTGGGGAAAGGATGACAATTGCAGGGAGGCAGAGCAGCCATGCGGTCGCCCTCAGCCCTAAAGGAGCGCACACAGCATCTTGAGGGTTTTCCTCAAAAAATGACAGCAGCAGAGTCTGTGCCTTCTCCCCATTGCTGCACACCAGTCTTCAAGGGTAGATGAGTTTCAGGAGGGTAAGGGAGGGGGTCGATTGTGTGCACAGGCAGGTGTGTGTGTGCATGTGTGTGCACGTGAGTGTGTGTATATGTGCACTGTGCATGTGCGTGTAACTATATACACATGCATCTATGTATGTGTCTGAGGCTGGAGAAATGGCTCAGTGGTAAAAAGTACTGGCTGTTCTTGCAGATTCCCAGCACCCACGTGGTGGCTCATAACAATCTATAAGCCCAGCTCCAGGGCATCGGATGGCCTCACCTGGCCTCAAGAGCACCTGACACGTGTGTACATACGTACACATAAATACACACATATATAAATAGTAATAAGTGTGTGTAAGTTAGCCAGACATGGTGGCACACACCTGTCCTCTCAGCCTTGGGGGGCTGAAGCAGGGGGATCTGGAGTTCAAGACCAGCCTTGGCCTCTTAGCAACATTGAGCCCATTTCTCAAGAAGTCTAGGAAGGCTCTGGGTGACTTTAGAATCCAAGCTGAAGGCGGGACCTGTCATTGTTTTTATTGTCTTTGGCTGTTTTCCGAAAGACAGGGGTCTCACTGGTATTCTGAATAGCTGTGCTAGTTCAGGGTCGTACGAAGTGTGTGTGGTTTTTGAAAATACAGGAGTGTGACAGAAGCTGTGTGCCTGAAACTCAAACTGTTCCACACGCAAACACCGGGATGTGCAAGTAAAGGTGGCATCCTTCCTCAAATCCTCCTTCCTGGAACGCTGGAGCAGGGCCTTTCGAAGGTGGCCGGCAGGCAGGGTGGGTTAAGAACTGGATAGAGACCATGAGAAGTGGTGCTTTTCCTCAGCTGTGCTGATGTGAGAATGTGTGAGGTCCAGGTCGAGAATGAAGAAAACGAAACAAAATATTAGGTGAGAATTTTTTGAAGAGAGGTTTGTGTTGGATCGTTCTAAGAAAACATGTGTCATACCCAAGAATGGGCTATAGAAGTTGGTGTGTGTGGTCTACATTTTATTTTATGTATTTAAAAATGTAAACAAAGCCATTCGTCGAGGCTAGCAGCTCCAAGAGCCACTGCAGGGGGCCGGAGGACATCCTCTGGCTGAATGACCACTGATGGATGGGGAGGTACTGGGTGGCCATACAGACGCGGGTCAGGGACAGGTAGCTGCAGGGCCTTCCTTGAATTCAGCTCGGTCTGGCCCAAAGTTCTTAATCCTAAAATGACAGCCCCGAGCACCCACCTACATCAGAAGATTCTCGATGGAGCCAGGTTCTAACTGGAAACGGAGCAAATTACTCACTGTGCACTCCGGCCTCCCCTGGGTATTCTCCTCCTAGGCCTTGAAAAGTGAGGGAACTGAGGGCGAGAGAGGCTCGGCCCACCCAGGTCACATGGGGGTGAGGCTGGGATGCTCACGTGGGCTGCCTGGTCCCTGCACCTGCTCCCAGGCCTCAGGCGGGCAGCAAGGTGGTGCTGCTGTCCAGTGCAGGGCGGGCATACCTTCAGCCGGTCCCTGAGGCCGAGGACTTGGTACTCCAGCTCCCGGAGCTGGGGCTGAGCAGTGTCTGCAGACCGCAGCAGATCCAGGACCTCCTGCACAGGCCTCTCAACTCCATCCCCATCTCCTTCTTCCTGGTTCTTCTGGCTCTGTGGCACCATGGGGCTGTGGACTGGGGCATCTCGCAGCAGGGTCAGCCTCTCTCCTCCCAAGTCCCTCCAGCCAGGCTGTTCCACAAGCACACCACTGACTGGATGAGCCAGGCCTGGCAGCAGGCCCAGGGGTGGGGGCTCCTCCCTGATCCCCTCTTCTATGCAAGCCGTGGGTACCGCAGGCATGGGCAGGAACCCCACATCTGAGGTGGATGCCGAAGTGCTGGTCTCAGTGTCTCTGGGGTCCTCAGAGCTGAAAGAGTCCATCTCAAGTCGCTCCTGGCTCCGGTTCCGCAGGCGAGGGCCCTGGAGCTCACTGTCAGACAGGTAGCCGAGGATGGAGGTGGCCCTAGGCCCACCTAGCAGCAAGGCCTGCTGCATTGGCTGCTGGAGGACAGACTGGGAGGGGATGCAGGAGCAACCTCAGCAGCCACCCAAGGGACTGTGCTGAGCCCCTCATGTGCCCAGGTGCTCAGGGTGATGTCGATCTGCCAAGGTGACTGGCATCTGGAGCCGCAGATGCTCCGTCATCCCCTGACTCTCCCCGGCAAACCTCAACTTCATTGTTTCATCTTCGCCAAGCTCCTGCCTCAGGACCTTGGTGCTGATTGTGCTCTCTGCCTCAAACTACCCTGCACACATGCCCTCAGCACTGGGGGTCCCAGCTCAGATGCCACTGCTCTGGAAGCATATCCCTGGAGACCCTAAGTGCTCCAGTGGTCCCCCTCTGTGCCCAGAGATCGCTGTGCTCTGTATTGGAGAGATGTCGTGTGTCTCCCCACCCATGTGCCAATGTCCACACCTAAAGGGGGACAAGTCCTGGGGCCTGGGACCCTGGATGGGTGCAAGCTTGGGGAGAGATGTTCTTGCTGAAGATTGCTTATGGCCTGTGGGCAGGCACAGCATAACACTGAAATTACCTCTCTGTCTGTGGAGTGAACACAGTCATGTGTGGGGCAGCGTGGGGTGGGGGTAGCGCATGCCTTTAATCCCAGAACTCAGGAGGCAGAGGCAGGCAGATCTCTGCAAGTTCAAGGCCAGCCTGGTCTACAAGAGCTAGTTTCAGGACAGGCTCCAATGCTACAGAGAAACCTTTTCTCGAAAAACAGAAAGAAAGAAAGAGAGAGAGAGAGAGAGAGAGAGAGGAAGGAAGGAAGGAAGGAAGGAAGGAAGGAAGGAAGGAAGGAAGGAAGGAAGGAAGGAAGGAAGGTCCTTGTATGTGAAAGACCATCACAAGGACAGCAAGAGAAATGCTGAGGGTGTCTGTGTGCACAGCTTTCAATGCCCCCCCACCCAGAGAGTGTGGTGGCCTCCGAGGGGACCTTGGCCCTGGGGACATGGGGAGAAGGTTGCTTCTTTGTGGATGGCTCCAGATCACACGCCTGGAAGCTCTGAGTCTCCTCAGCAAGGTGAGGCCAAGGCCATGGCTAAGCAGAGGACACCCTCCTCACACTCACACACACCCCAGTAGGTCCCAGACCCAGCCTAATTCCCATGGCCTCAAGCCGCGGAAGAATGAGCCCCACAGCCCTACAACCCCCAGGCTGAACCCCAAGCAGGCCATGCTCCTCACTGCCCAGTCCCAGAGCATCTCAGCCTGCTGGGAACAGGCTCACTTACCAGGCAGTATTTGTCCCGGAAGCTGGGGGTGCTAGGTGGTGTCCAGGTGTACAGTGAGCCCTTCCTGCTGCCCATCGAGAACCTGCCAGTGGGGCTGGGTGACACCAGCTGGCACTCAGAGTCCAAGGGGCTACAGAGGAGAGCAGAGACCGTCTGGGGATGGGACCCAGTGCTCTGCAGTCACAGGCAGCTGCCTTGCCTTTCAAAGTAACCTGTGTATGCAGAAGCTCTGCTGATCTTCCCACAACCTCCACTAGGTAATGAGTGCCTGGGTTATTTACACGGAATGAATTGTGGGTGGCTGGGTTATTTGCACGGAATGGATTGTGAGTGCCTGGGTTATTTACAACTCTGAAATGATGGCTTGAGACAAGGAATTTGCTTTGACCAGCATCCCCTCCAATAAGAGAGGGCCAGAATCAAATTCACCCCACTTTTCTCTCGCCCCAAAGCCTTCGAGTCAGTTAGGAGTGATGTTCATGCTATACACTTGAAGTGTGGTGGGCAAGGCTGCATGGCAGAGGCCAGGTGGCTGCACAGCCCTCAGCTGAGGAGAGCTCACCAAACCCACCAGGAAGATCTGGAGCCCAGGGGCCTGCAGTACCTCCCCCCTTCCAAGCCTAGGGTTGTGGCATGCACTTGAGGGGATCCTAGGTGACTGGGTTGGATGCTCTCAGCTCTTTCCTACCCTGCCACACCCACTCAGGGGAGAGGCGTCCTGGAAATGCAAGGTGCCAACAACAGAAACTTTAGAAACCACTGGCTCCTGAGGCTGCAGAGGGAGCCCCAAACCCAAAACAGGCTTGAGCCTGGATGGACCTAACTGGTCTGCAACCTAAAGAAAGACGTCAACGTTCAGCCCCAGACTGGAAGGGACAGGGGACAGCCAATGGCAGAAGGTGGTGAAGAGGAACTAAGGAGGAAAAGGGGCCCAGAAAGGGTCCTGGTTGCGCTGTCACTGTGTTCCGAAACTGAGAGTGAAATTCAAGGTCACAGGAGGTGTGGGGGAGGAGGAGACAAGGCTGCTGTAAAGGTCAGATAAACCTGGCTGTGGGGTAGGATGGGTGAGGTCAGGGATGGCTATGCAGGAGCAGGTCTGGACTGCACCAGGAGCAGGGGTGGCCTTGGCGAGGGCAGGGGTGCCACAGCAACCACTCACTTCCACAGCAGTTCCAGCTGCAGCTTGATGGTGCCCAGCTCAGTGATGTCCACCACCACAAGCTGGGGTCGGGCCGTGAAGAAGTCAGCGATGTCGCAAGTCACAGCACCCACCACCATTGAGCTCAGGCCTCGAAGCTCGGTCACCTGGCCGTGAGGGACAGGATGGTGGTGTCTGGCTCCAGCACCCAGGCACCAGGTCCCACCCTGGGCCCTGACCCACCTTGATCTCCAGGTTCTCGTGCATGGTAGGCACAAAGGCCTTCTCCTCCTCATCCCAGGTCTGGCTGTCATCCGGCTCTATCCGGCCCTTCAGCCGCCACCGCTGGCGGCCCAGGCGCATAAGCACCTGCGTGTGAGACACAGGAAGGGTGCAGGTGCAGAGGCAGCCCCAGGGGAATCCCCTCACTGCCTACCCATGGACCGCCCTCCCAGGACCTTCCTGGCTGTACCTCATACTGGTCTCCTGGACAGAGGCGTGCATAGCCCACCAAGCCTGGAACACAGAAATGGGCTAGTCTCCTCTCCCCCCTCCCGCCCCACCCAGGGACAATAGGGACCTCAGGGTACAAGGGTGTGCCTGGCGGCATGGGAAGGATAGATTTTGATGGTCAAGAGGGTGGAGGGCATCATAGCATACCCAGAGAGCAATGAGCCCACCTCCTGTCACAAGGGCACCCATCAGGGCTGGGCCTCTAGACCCTGGGACTCCGGCCTGCCCCGCCCACCCTTAGCAGGCTCTCTTGGCTGCTGGGAAGAACTGATACCAAGGCCCAGCCGGATTGGCGCTCACCTTTCATCTTGACGTGGAACTCGCCCAGGTGAACTTCCAAGGCCCCCTCTATGAGACACATGTCCTGCAAGGCCCACAAGTGGATCAGTCCTTTGCGAGCCGCACCCCCTACCCAGGAGCCCAGAGCAGGGGCTAGAGAGGCTGGCCCACCTCCATGCATTCCTGCAAGTTGCGGCCCAGCTCCTGCAGGCTCTCCCGGGAGGCGCGGCTTTGGGTACTGTTGCTAAAGGCACGCTGCATGTTGGAGGCGCCATCTCGCAGACGCCACTGGATACAGTAGCATTCATAGAGCTCATCCACCTGCAGCAAACATGCAGGCTGTGGGCCACACCAAGGGACAGCCTCTGCCCACCATCTATTCCTCCAAGAACTATCTCCTAGCCCAGCCTCGCCCTGTGGTAGCATGGCTCTTAGCCACCACCTCACACCCCGGCACCTAGGATCACACACACAACTCAGCACAGTAGACACTCATGATATGTCATGCACCAGTCTGAGTCCCAACTGTGGAATGGAAAGTGAGCCACGGCAGTGCCTGCCCTGTGGGTCTGGAGAGGAAGGTGAGCTCTTGAAAGTACTTGTAAATGGACTATAAGAAAACCTAAAAGAGGGCTGGAGAGATGGCTCAGTGGTTAAGAGCATTGCCTGGTCTTCCAAAGGTCCTGAGTTCAATTCCCAGCAACTACATGGTGGCTCACAACTATCTGTATTGAGGTCTGGTGCCCTTTTCTGACCCTCAGGCATACATGCAGGCAGAACACTGTACATAATAAAAAAATAAAATCTTTAAAAAGAAAAAAGAAAAGAAAACGTAAAGGAGCTGGGCATGATGGTGTATGTCTTTAATCCGAGCACTCAGGAGGCAGAGGCAAGCAGCTCTCTGTGAGTTCAAGTCTAGTCTGGAGTATATTGTGACTTCCAGACTTCCAGGGCTACACCATGAAATCCTATCTCCAGAAGAAGAAGGAGGGTGAGGGAGGAGGAGGCAAGCCTAAGGGACTCGCTACGGGACCTTGAGCACATCCCTGTGGGTTGAGCCCCCCACTTTCCTGTCTACACAGCGACAGTTAGAGCCTCCCAAGACCAAGCAGCAAGCCCCGTGTACTGACCAGTGACAGAGTCCCACCCCAGGGCTGAGACGCTGCTGTCAGTCACAGGAGCTCTGCCTAGCCCTCCTCTCTGCAGCTACACATAACCACCCAACCTGGACACTCATTACACCCTCATGACACCCCATGGTGGCCTGTGCCACCCACATGATGTCCAGTGACATCCTGTGACTCCCTCTGACTCACAAGCGATACCCACATGACTCCCTGTGGCACCCCCACGACGCTCCGTGATGCTCAAGACACCCACCTTACTGATATGAAACTCCACCTTCCGGACATGTCTCTCTACCAAGCGTGTTTGCTTCTCCCAGGGGAAAAAAAAAAGCTGCTTCAGAAGTGGCTGCGTTCCCCCCCCCCCCCCCCCCCCCAGGATCAGGGCACTGGGCTCAGATCTCAGCGAAGCTCACATCAGGCCTCAGTTTCCCCGCTTGTAACATGAGAAGCCCAAGTGTTCTGCCCAAGGGCAGCTGGGATGGAAGGCCACCTCAAACTGTCTTGCCCACCCTGGAGACCGCACAGGGACATGGGCTCACCTTGTCCAGGTCATAGTAGAAAGCCTGCAGAGAGAAGGGGGAGGTCAGAATTCCAGAGACCCCCTCATTACTGACACCTGAGCTCCAATGACAACGGCAATGCCTGCAGCCTGCCCTGCCTGTGGCCATGAATGTCCAGGGGAAGAACGGCATGCATTGTGGGCAAGCCAATTCCAGGTCTGGCACTATTTCTCTGTGTGCCCCAGGCAAGTTGCTCAACCTCTCTGAGCCTCCCTCTCTTCCTGTGTAAGATGGGCATCCGTCACTGTAATGGTCAGTACTGACTGTCTGCTTGACAGCCTCTGTTCAAGATCACCTTGAAATGAGCTTCTGGATGAGAGAGAGTTTCTAGACGGGGTTGATTGAGATGGGGAGACCCACCCGAGGCTGGGGTTCTGGGCTTCGTGGCAAAATGAGAACCGTTTATTTAGCAGCTCCCATCTCTCTCTGCCTGCTGACCGCAGATGCAGTAGGCTGCCCAGCCCTCCTGATGTCGTGCCTTGAGCCAAAACTAATCCTTCTTCTCTTACATCATTGCTCATGTCAGGCACCTTGTCACGACAAGGATAGAAACAGTAGCCACATGAGTGGCTGCAAGGATCATAAAAGTCACACTTCAGGGCCAGCTGGATGGCTCATGGGTAAAGGTGCTGGAGTCTGGGCCACACATGGTGGGAAGAGGGAACCGACCCCTGCCCCGCAATTATCCTCTGACTCCACAAGGGCATTGAAGGAATGCATCCCTGCTTTGTCTCCCCTCCCTCACACAAACAAACAAACAAATAAATAAATATAACATTTCAAAATGAAATGAGAGCTGGAGAGATGGCTTAGTGGTTAAGAGCACTCACTGCTTTTCCAGAGGTCCTGAGTTTAATTCCCAACAACTACAGGGTGGCTCACAACCATCTCTAGTGGGATACGATGCCCTCTGCTGGCATAAAGTTGTATATGCAGATAGAACACTTGCATTCTTAAATAAATAAATCTTTTAAAAAAATGAGCGGAAGGAGCTGTGATTTTGAAGAGGTGTTCTGATACCAGCTTCTGGGGAACCCATAAAACACTCCCTGTGGGACCCAGGCACTCTGTCCTTATTGTGGGGTCCTTATCCTTCCAACACTGGTGTGACCAAGGTGAGCTGGGTGACGTGTCCCCTGGACAGCAGGTGGCGCCATAGTCTGCCTTGTAGAAATGAAGACAGTCTAAGGTGTTGTCTCTCAATCTGGCTATCTAGTTATGGAAACAACAGATACCAGAGAAGTGGGAATGTCTCAGGAAGTTCACGCAGGGAGAAGGGGAAGAACTCCAGCCTGATGCGGAGGACTTGATTTCATTTCACACAGTTCTACAGGATGAGAGTGGAGCCCAGATACAGTTGTGGGCAACACCATGCCTTGACAGGACTGCTTAGATGTGCAAATCCCTGCCTCTATTCAAACTTGAAAAGACCAGTGGACTTCTGGGCTGTCTACTGGATCCCTTTCTTCCTCATCTTAACACATTGACTAAATCTCCTTTTTCTGCTTTCTGCTTTTCATTTGACTCTCTTTAAAAAAAAAAAAAAAAGATTTATTTATTATGTATGCCTGAAGAGGGCACCAGATCTCATTACAGATGGTTGTGATTACAGAAGTGGTTACTGAGAAATGAACTCAGGACCTCTAGAAGAGCAGCCAGTGCTCTTAGCCACTGAGCCATCTCTCTGGCCCTAACTTGGCTCTTTTAATTGGCTTAGGAAGAACGGGAGACGGGCCCTGACTTAGGATACAGGTTCTGACCCTTAAAGAAGAGGGAGAGCGATCAGAGGGGCCATTTAAGAGTCCGGGAGACCCACGCCATGAGCCCCACACATCCTGGTATCCACAGAAAACTCTCACCTTGGACACAAGAGCATGCAGGCTCAACTTGGGGCAGAGCAGGGCCGGGGACACTGAGAAATGGCCACTTTCCTGAGCCACATAAACTGCCTGGCTCTGGTGTGTGTGATGGCCAAGCCCTGAGGGATGGGGCCATATGCACCTCTGCAGTGGCCTGACCGCTCCTCCCAGAGCCCTGAGAGGGAAGTTCATGGCAAATCCCAAGGGCCTGGGGTGGGGACCACCGTCCTTCAGCTGCTGTGAGCAGCTCTGTTTTCATTCCGGACACTCACCAGCCTGGAGCTCCTCTGGGTGTCGGTGTGGTGACCGCACAGGTAATCCAGCTCAGCCTGCTGCTCACACAGGTGCTCCCTGTGGTAGGCAGTGGGTGGGGTTAGGGGGTAGGATCCAAGCAGAAAGGAGGAGCAGGACAACTGACCAGGTACCCTCCCCCAGCATGAGGTTGACCATCCCACGATCTGGGGGTCCCTCTGTTACCCCAACAACTCCGCAAATCAGTCTAGCCATTACTAGGCATGTTGCAAAGATGCTTACACACGGATCCTGGTAGGCAGCAAGGAACTGGCCAGGGAGGCCTGAACTGAGGAGGGCGTGGTGGATAGAAGGGGACAGGGGGCAGAGACTGTGAGAAGACTGGCGGGGGAGGGAAATGAGACCATGGGCCCAGGGCCAGAAAGGAGGAGGACTCAGTGAGGAGCTGCAGGAGTGAGCCTGCAGCTGAGGGCCAGAGTGGCGTCGGGGAAGGGCAAGTTCCTTCGAAAGACAACCCAGGGCTGGGCTCACTCTTACAGTGGGATCAGGCAGGGCTGCTGGCTGTCTGACCATACTGGTTGGGCTCTGCCCCTCCTCCCTGCTCGAGATGAGAGGGGGACCCTCCAACCCCAAGCCCAGGGTGCTTCAGGGGTTTGTAGCATCCTGGTTGGGTAACAAGGAAGCAGGGAGTCAGGCCAGTCCTTCCCCAAAGTTCCTTCCCTCCTCAAGGCCAAGGACACACACCTGTTTCAGCAGGGTCTACAGCCCAAGCAGAGCCTTCCAGAACCTTCTCTGAGCCTTAACTTCTCCTACTCTGAGAGCATTATCTAAGACAGAGTGAGGGTTTTGCAAACTGCTCCTTTCAGGGCACGGTGTGTCCTCCATTCCCTTGGGCAGAGCAGAGAAAGGGGGTGTGCCTTTCCGGTCTGACATCTGGGGACTTAGGTGGAAAATGCCTCCTAAGGCCATTCTCTTGAGGGGCCAAGGCGTGTCCCTCCAGCTGTGACTGTTCCTGCTCCATCCATAGCATGGAACCCTTCTCCCGCCCAGGTTTATCTTATCAAGGTCAGTTTACTGAGTGACAGTGACATCAGGTGCCCCAACACAAGAGGGACCCCAAATGGGCTTGCTCATTTTCCTTCAAACTTGGCCTGTTCAGCTCTCCTAGCTGGGACACCAGCGCCTCCTTCAGGCCACACTCAGCAATCACAGGGTTAGCGTCCAGCTGCATCTATCCATACTCAACTAGACAAGCCTCTCCTGCCATTGTCTCTGGAGTCAGCTATCTCCCCTCTCTCTCTCTGCTTCCCATGCCTGCACCCTCACATCCTTCTCAACTGATCCTGTCTCCTTCTCACCCCCCAAACGAGTCCACCAGCAGCTCAAAACAGTCAAGAGTTTCTTGAAGCCCAGGCCCCAGAGCTTGAGCGCCTCCCTCACCACAGAACCCTCCATGGCTCCAAGCTCTCATAAGATGAACAGCCGAGGCCTCCACAGTTCACATGACCTTGAAGCATTGTCCCGTTGTCCCTCTGATGTCACCCAGTGTCCCTAGGAGTCCAAAATCGGAGACCTCTGGCCTTCCCATTATCCCCAAGGGCCTTACTTCTTCCCCTGTGGCTGTGCTGTGGCCAAGGCTGCCCAGAGCAGTTCCTTCAAAACCATGCCGACTCCTTCCTGCCTTACCCATTTTCCTCTGCAGCACCTACACCACCCGACATACTTCTCAGTACTGCTGTCTGTCTGTCTGTCTCTCCCCACTCACCTGAGGCCTCTCTTCACAGCGTCAAAGATCTTCTTCACCTGCTGCGGCCGGGGGTCCAGGCAGAGCGAGCCCTTACGCAGTGTTCCATAAGCCCTGGAGGACTTGGCTGGCAGCCGTGACCTCACAGAGTTCCTGTTGATGGACTTTCTGTGGGAGGGGACAGAGAGTCAGGACAGCTGGCTGGGCTCCACTTCCATCACTTCCGAGCTGTGTGCTCTTCAAAAAGCTGAGGTTCTTGGAGCCTCAGTTTCCTCATCTGGAAAATGGGAAGCCTGGGTTTGAGGATGAAGAGGACAGTTACAAACCTTAGAACCAAAAACAAGCTTCTGCCGGGCAGTGGTGGTGCACGCCTTTAATCCCAGCACTTGGGAAGCAGAGGCAAGCAGAACTCTGAGTTTGAGGCCAGCCTGGTCTACAGAGTGAGTTCTAGGACAGTCAGGATTACACAGAGAAACTGTCCCCAGAAAGATAGACAGACAGACAAAAAGACAGACAGAAAGACAGACAGAAAGGACAAAAGAAAAGAAAAAAGGGGCTTCCAGGGCATATGTAGTGAGCTGTCAGACTCCATGCATGGCATGCTGCAAGCACACACAGCAACATTGAGAGGACCGAATCCTAGCCCCAGGGTTCCTGCAGGGTACAAGTACAGCTCAGCTCTAACCTCTTCTGTGTCCCCCACCAGGGACAGCTCCCCCCCCCAGATCTGCTCTGTCACATGTGGATTTTAGAGAAGGGGCATGCTGTCTTGGTGACCTTAAGTGATGTGGGAAGAGCCAGCCTGAAAGTGGGCAGCACCATTCCCTAGGTTTGGGCCCTGGAATTTGTCAGAGTAGAGAAAGCTTGGCAGACAACATGCAAGGTTCATTTTTCTCGCTCTTGACTTTAGAAGCCACGTGGCTCCCTTCGGATCCTGCCTTGACTTCCTCCTGTGATGGGACTGGGACTGTGAGCAGTGTATTAAGATCCTGCCGTAAGAAAGGCACAGCCAGGCCTGGGGTACAGGCCTCTAATTCCACCTAGGGAGATACAGGCAGGGGGCTAGGGAATTCTAGGGAATCATTAGCAACAGAGTTCAAGGCCAGCCCCAGCCACATGAGAGCCCATCTGCGTAACTGTAAGATAAATAGATAAATAGATAGGTCCCCTCTGCCTCTGGGGCTCACTAGCTCTGGGCTTTTGGGGGTCACCCACACACTGAAGACATGGCTTTTCTGGGTTCTTTCTAACGTCCCTGAACCTTTTTTCATGGTTCTTTCCTTTTTAGATAGGATCTCACTCTGTCCTCCTGCCTCAGCATCACAAGCGCGCTTTTAAAACCCAGGTGCTCAGGGCTTGTCTATCCAGATAGGAGCTCACTGAGCAGTCCCTGGTGGCCTGGGTCCCCCTGAGAGTCACAATCTATAGCGGGAGGCAGAGGATTGTGGGCGAGCAAGTCAGGCAAGGGGCGGGGCACAGGGACATGGCTCTGCTCTTTCCTCAGCCCTGGGAAAAGTCACTGGGCTAGTTCTGGCTGGGTGAGATGCTAAGCATTCCACAGGTGGGAGACACAACACAGACATGCAACTTACTCAAACTAGGTCTGCTTGTCACCCTGTTTTGGGACCAACCCTTGCCCGAAGTCCCTGAAGCTGACAGCCCAGCACATACCAGCCCACAAGGGCCTTGTGCCCCCCTACTCAGCCCCTGTATTCAAACTGCAGTCGCAAGACTCTGAGCTCTTAGCCCACTCAGCCGGTTTCCTCACCTGTAGAGGGGAGGTAATGATGCCTGCCCCTCTCCTTGTCACGACAGTGACATGACAGACATTTGCTGAGTCTCTGCTATACAGATACCACCATTCCAGGGGACAGGACGGGACAGAGCCTTGACAAAGACAAGCAAACGCCCGCCCTGAGAGATATAGGCCAGCTGGTGCGGTCAGTATCTGGCTCTCCCACAACCAAACTGTGGCCCTGGCCACTGATGGAGTCTCTCTGGGTTGGAGTTGTCTCTCAGTGAAATGGGGGTCCAGGTCTGGGATTGCCAGGAGGGTTCTGGGGACTGATAAATACAAAGAACCCCAAGCCGTGTCTGGTAAACACCAGGCACCACATGTTTGCCAAAGAGATAAGACTGGAACAAGCCTATCCGACAGGACCTAACACTGAGAAGAAAAGAGAAAAAGCGAAGTGGGCAGGGAGGGGACGCTCCCGCCCCCCAGCAGTGCCCGGGAGAGGGTATGCCACCACTGCTTGCCTCTGGTACTGACATTCACAGACTGTAGTAGATGACTCTCCAAAGCCCTTTCTCCATCCCCTTCCTCTCTCTCCCCATTCCCCATGGCCACATCACCCACCTCTTGGATCGGGTCCTCCACAAAGTTGCCATCTCAGGCACAGACAGGCCACACTGCAGACAAGGGTACAGTGGGTTTCTGACAGATGAGAGTCCAGGCAGCCAGAGGGACAGTGAGGCAGGAGGTGGCTCTGGGTGGTGCTGCAGCTCACTTCAGGGATCCACAGGCCCACCTCTTCCCTCTCCCTTGGGCTCTTGAGGTTCCAGGCCCAGCGCTGTCTCTGAGCCTCTGAGGACAGTGGCTCCAAGGGCTGGCACAGCGCAACCTGGCTGGTGAAATGAGGCTGCATGCTGCATGGCTGGCTGGTGTCACAGGGCTGGGAGCAGCCTCTGGGGGTGGATGTGTGTCACCAGCTTCAGGAGGACTCAGTAAATATTAAACAGCCCCAGGCCTGCCGGACAGGCTTCCAGGCACGTGCAGCCTGGCGCCCAGTGATCACAGGCAATCAAACAGCGCTGACCGTCATGACTGTCCCCAGCCTCGAGGCAGGGCAGTCCCTGGACTGACCGCATAGACTCCTGCTGCATGCCCATCAACCAGGCTGACCACGGTCCTGTGCCCCGTGACCCACGGGAGGACAATGGCAGCTTTACCACGCTGAGGCTCAACTCCGCGTGCTTCAGACGCAGTGGTTTAAAACCGAGTTTGATGACCCGCCCCAACTCCTGGCTTCAGAGACACCTGCCCGACACTCCTGGGGAGGACAGCCCTGGATGCCAAGCTGCTGCTGTGCCTGTTGGTGGAAACTACTGTGGGCAGCTGGCATGGCTCTCCCACCCACAGAGCTTGAAAAAGGGAAATGCCTGTTGTATGCAACCATCCACGCCTTCCTACTAAGTGATCAGATAACTTCCCAAGTGAATTCTGTATCTGTGGGGTAGAAAGGCCTGGTTGGTCAAAGAATTGGGGTGGGCAAGGTGCAACAGAGGTGTGTCCTGCCCTGAGTGGAGTCCTGCTGGACTGTCAGGGTCATTCTGCCTTACCCACCCTGGTGTGGCCCCTCACCTCTGGGAATAAGGGGCAGAGGTGAGACCTGCACCCCAATCCAGGTCAAACCAGTGTCAGACACTGGGGAGATGAACAGAGAAAGGAAATTAAAACAACCATGCAGGGGCTTAGAGAGACCACTCAGCAGTTAAACAGCACTGACTCTGCTTACAGAAAACCTGGCTTGGATTCCCAGGACCCACACGGCAGCTCCTAAGTGTCTGTAACTCTAGTTCCAGATGATACAGTGCCCTCTTCTGGCGTCTGTGGGCACTGCATGCATGTGGTACATACACATGCAGACAAAACACTGGTATATACAAAATAAAAATAAAAGCTAAAAGAAACAAAAAACTCACTACACCTCTTCACTATCACCATGGGCAACCTTCTCCATCTTAGGGGACTTCCCAGGCTGAAGCTAACAGGATCTACTCAGGACCAGCTAAGGCCCAAGCAGCCCTGGGAACCCAGACCCTCGCACCATCAGGGCTCACTTCTCTAGGCCACACACAGACATCACAGGTATCATAAGAGGATTGAATCACCTCCATCTTCCAGGAGTCCAGGGGCAGCAGAGTTGGGGGACTTCCTTGGGACTTTTTGGACAGAAATCCTGATGGAGCGTGAGGGGACACTTCCCATGGATATGGGGTGTTCTGAGGCCTGAAAGCCAGCCGCAGGATGGAAATGTGGCATGTGATTGTCACCAGGTGGCCATGAAGAACACTTGGTCAATGCCTAGTGATGGTCAGCAGCCCCTCCTCTCCTCCTGAACCACACAGAGACCTCGGTGCCTCAGTGAGCCATCTGAGATGGTCCCAGGCTATGTGTTCCTAGGCCAGCTCTACATACAGACCCCACGGTCCAGTTCCAGGAGGCCCAGGCAGAAGCAGCGTGGGAGGACCAATCTGAGAAACAGCATTGGCTCCTCTGGTTTGCACGCGCCCCTCCCAGCAGCATTTATGCAGCGCCTGCTGTGTGTCTTCCTCACGGAGTCAACCACTGTCCTCGCCAAGGCTCACAGTCAGCGACTAGGACCAATCACCATGGGTCTCTGCCAAACTTTCCCATCCAGAACTTCTGCCCAAGCCTTCACTGGTCCCAGACACTGAGGATGTGTCCCCTAGTGTTCCCTCCCTCTCTGACCACAGCCCACGTGCCTCGCAGCCTGCTCCTCGCTGCCTCAGGACCCTCACACTTGCTGTCTTCACATACGATCACCGCCATCGGCTCCTGCTGAACGAAGCCCCTACTGCTCAGGCCCTTGGGCGACACCACCTCCCTCTGCACCCTGTCCTAGGCCCAGCATAGCACCAGCCATGGCTGAGTTGATTTGTTTTGTTTCCTTTTGCTCCACTGATGGACCCAAGCGGGGCAAGGCCTGGGTCCCTCCCCACTGTTGCCTGCTGAGGAAGGAGGGCCCCCCTGAGACAGGCATGGACTCCTCTAGGGAGAGCTCAGATGAGACAGGTCAGGGCAGAGGGGAACCTGCAGGCAGCCTCACAGGGCGGCTGTTGGGTGGATGTGAGTGAGGCACCTGGCTGGGCTGGGCCTGGAGTCTTCCCCAGGACATGCCAAGACAGCAGGGATAGGCCAGGGCAGAATATTCCGCCGGGACACACAGCATGTTCTAGGGCCTGGGAGAGAGAGAGATCAGAGTGGCTGAAGCTCAGGCTAAGTTAACTCAGGGCCCTGGCCATGAGGCCAGAATGACCCTGAGGTCTGAGGGCGGCTGAGGTCTTTAAGCACGGGTGTGTGGCATTGTGGAAAATGGTTGCTGATCAGCTGACCAGCCATCGAGGCTCTGTGCCCACTCTGGTGGGGACCTGCCCACCCATCCACTCAGGTGCCTTTGGTGTTCCCTGGGGGCTTGTTCCGTGTCCAGCTAAGACCACAGAACCTGGACTGGTGGGCCTGAGCTCTTGGGGCTCTGGCCCCAGAGGCAGAAGGAACTCATGGGGATAGGATGGAGGAGCCCAGGGTGAGAGGCAGGCAGGGATTAGTCCTCGAGGTCCAACCCACAAGGCTGAGCCAGTTGCTGTCATCAGAAAGCCCCACCCCTAGGCTCCAATGTAGCTGCTGGAGCCAGCTGCCTGCCCAGTGTTAACTCCCCTTCACAACAATCGTACAGGAAGCCACACCTCTTCTGTGTTCAAAAGTGAGAAAACCTGGGCTCAGAGAGGTGAAGTCACTTGCCCCAGGTCACAGAGCCAGGACAGGGGGCCCCATCATCCAGACTTCCAAACAGGAAGAGCATTCCTTCACACTCCACCCCTAGAAGGCTAAGGCCAACTGAGAAGACATTTTGCTGTGTGACCCTAGAGTCGTGGCGCTACCTCTCTGAGCCAGGTTTCTCATTTGGTGATAAGCTCAGCAGAGTGACTATGGACACGAGACGATGTGGACCAAGCTGGCAGGAAATGACAAGTTTGTCCAAGAAAGGACGTACCCCCATAGCTGGCCGTCCCAGGCCGCTGGCTGAGCTCCAGTGCCCCAACCCCATGCACTTGCGCCCTCCATTCCCACGGCACTTACGAGAACCTCCGGCTTTGTGCACTGAAGCCTGCGAAGGAGGCGCTGCGGCCCACGGTCCCCACGGCCCCGGCATCCCCAGGAGACAGGAAGCGCAACCTCACAGACATGGCTGCCACCTGCGAGGAGAGGACGGCAGAGTCAGCCTGGACAATCTTCAGCAGCATCTGGCACACACTGTGCCACCACTCCCATAGGAGCCAACTGCGGCTGCATGGGGGAAGTGTGGGGCAGCCGGGGGGCAAGCGGCAGTTATGGGGTCTAAAGCCAGGCCTCTGTCTGCCTTCATGCCCAGCTCACTGGCTGTCTGCCCCCCCTCCCTGCTGAGCCCCCTGCGGGAGTCAGAGCCCAGCGCCTGCTGATGCCAGCTCTGTACTGGGCACACTGAGTGCACGACAAGACAGTAGCGTGTGGACAAAGGTCCTGTGACACCAGAGCTGTGACCCGGAAATAGAACAGGGTGGCAGCCCCTGGTAGAACTGGGGGAGCGGGGTGCAGAACACCGATCCCCAGGGAGCCAGGTCCCTCTAGGGAGGACTTTGGCCTCCCATCTGGGCAGAGGTACCTAAGAGCCATGGGTGGATCAGAAGCAACGGTGGCAGACGTCAGGGCTGCTTTGAACCTGGGCCCACTGCCTGTCTCGGATCCAGGTTGTAATGAGGCCAGCCCACGGAGGCCGGCATAGCTTCTCTTTTTTTTCCCAAACCATCTCCAGGATGGAAAAATGGCCCCACATCCCTGGGGAGTACAGTACAGCGAGCTGGCATCTTCTAGCACAGGCAATCGGAAACTTCATATCTAACCTAAATCTCGGCTGCTGCCATTTCATACTTTGCTCCTTAGCCAGGGTGGTACCAGTCTGAGGACTGCAGGAATGCTAGTGCCTACACACAACCTAGGAATATCTCCACCCAGCAACACAGGTTGCCCTGGATTGGAACCCTGTCCCTGGCTTCTCTTTCACTTCCACTCCTAGGCATGCTGCAACCTCTGTCCACAGCCCCCCACAGCTGCCCAGTGCTGCTCTTGCATTTTGTTTAGAGTCTCAGTGGCTCAGAGGCCCTGTGCATAACCTCTGCACACCTGTGCCGCACCTCTGCTTGCCCGCCTGTGCAGTCCTGCAAACCTTCCCTGCCTGCCTCCTAGCCCACGGCATCGCCCCACAGCACGGTATACAGGAAGGCATCTGAAACACAAAGCCAGCCTTGGCTCCAGTCAAGGTTTGGCCAGGGCCTTGGTGGTTACAACTTTAAAATGGGCTCAGAGGTTCTCAGAGGAACCAAGAGCTAGATGTGCTGGGAGTTCCCTGTGCACAAGGGTGTGTACCTGTATATGTGCATGCGTGTGTGCATGTCTGTGTCCGTGTGTGTGTGTGTGTGTGTGTGTGTGTGTGTGTCTCACTGTGCACTGACTAGGGACCAGAGCCCCAAATGGATCAAAGGAGCAACTTCTTGCACTGGTGAAGGGGTCTTGCGGTGTCTGCTGAGTCCCTGCTGGCTGTCCAGGGGCAACTGTTCCCTGCACACAGATGGGGAAGTTGAGGCAGTGTGAGGAGGGGTGAAGCCCTGTGATAAATACAGCCGATAAGTTCCCCTACTCAATCCACACTACCTCCTAAGGAGCAGGAGCTACTGATGGCTCAGTTGCACAGATGGGGAAACTGAGGGTCAGAGAGGCAGTGGAGACCTTCTGTGGACCCCCCTAGTGGGGAACTGCAAAGCCAGCTTGGAGCCCAGGAGTGTATGTGTCTCACCTGGCTTCCAGGTATCTTCACTAGAGATGCAGCCCCCTCCCCAAGGAGAACCGCCTTACCCCTGCCATTGGCTTATACCAGCTCAGGGAGGCATTGGAGCCACTGCATCCCCTTCCTGGCTTCAGTCAGCAACAATGGGAATTATGAACACTCCAGCTTGGGCTGTCCCTCCTTCTACTGGGTCTCACCAACCCACCAAGGCTCCTGCCTTCAGTCTAGTCTAGGGTGGCTGTCACATTCTCCCACAGCCAGGCCAGGGAAAGAGGGAGCCAGGAGAGGGGCCACCCTGGGGTTCCCAAAGTCTTAAGTTTCTGTCCAGACGCTGAACAGTCTTAGTGTCTGACAGTGACAGCCACTGTCCCCTGAGGGCTCGGGACAGGAGGCTGGGGTTCCAACAGACCAGCAACAGACACTCCTCTGAGGGCTCGGGACAGGAGGCTGGGATTCCCCACAGACCAGCGACAAGGCACTGTCCCCCTGAGGGCTAGGGACAGGAGGCTGGGACCCCCAAAGGCCAGCAACAGCCACTGTCCCCTGAGGGCTAGTAGGGACAGGAGGCTGGGGTCCCCACAGGCCAGCGACACCCACTGTCCCCTGAGAGGGCTCCCACAGGCCAGCGACACCTACTGTCCCCCGAGAGGGCTCCCCACAGGCCAGCGACACCTACTGTCCCCCGAGAGGGCTCCCCACAGGCCAGCACTATGAGGCCTTGAGACCCCACTCCTCTCACTGTGAGGAGTCAGCAACTCAGAGACCTGCGTCTTGCTCTGCAGTTGTCCCCAAGGACTGGCTTCCTGGACAGTTCCACCCTCTGGCCCTGGCCACCTATCTGGGCCAACCTTCTTGGGTGTCTCCTGTATGGGATCTCCAGGTCTGGGCTGGGGTCAGAACCCTTTGTCCCCAGAATCCTTGGATCCTACAGTCACCACAGATGGACCGTGGGGCTTGCCCTCCCCCTTGGCAAGGCTCCGTCAAGTGGCTGTTTGGGCTCAGGGGTATCCAAAAGATTCCAGTTCATGAGAACTGAGACCCACAAGAGAGGCTGAACCTACCCCCTATTACCCCAGCAGCCCCATAGAACAATGACCACCAGGCAAGATAGGCAAAGGGCAGATGGAGGGTTAGGTGGGACATCTGTCCGTTTTGCTCAGCTCAGCCACTTCAGAACTAAAGGAACTTGAGCGATATGGAAATGAAAGGCTATGGCTGTGCTCAGGACTGCGTTACGGGTTTCATGTGGCCCAGGCTGGCCTCAGACTTGCTATGCAGTTAAGGCTGATCTGCCCGCATCCACCTCCTGAGATGACAGGCATCACACACACACCCAGTCGATGTGGTGCCAGAACCCAAGGTCTCAGAGATGCCGGGCAAGCGCTACCCACTGAGCCACACCCCCAGTCACCAGTGACGCCATCACAGAACCGGTGCCTGCTGCAGACATGGCCCTGTGACTCCCACACCCCACAGGCCTTACAGCCCACAGCCTGCTCCCTGCCCGAGGCTGGACCACCTTGGTCCGTTAACCCAACACAAGTTCTCTTACTAGCCCTCTTAGATAAAGAAGCTGAGGCTGGGGCCAGAGAGATGGCTCAACCGCTAAGCACTTGCTGCTCTTGCAGAGGATCTGGGTTCAGTTCCCAGCGCCCACACGGCAGCTCCCAATCACCTGTCACCAGTTTTGGGGCACCTGACACCCTCTTCTCGTGGACCTCCGAGGGCTCCTGCAAGCACACGACACATACACACACCACACTGGTGATATGCGCTCAGGCACACATACACACATAAAATAAGAAAATCTTAGAAAAGAACCCGGAGTTGTTGTTCTAGCGCCTGGGAAGCTGAGGCAGAAGGATAGCTATGACTTCCAGGCAAGCCAAAACTACATATTGAGACACTGTCTCAAAGCAACATGAGAAAGAAAATAGGCTCTGGGAGAGGATGGCTCCTCCAAGGTTGTTGACAGGAAACCCCAGAGCTGAGATTCCTGCAGCACACTGCGCCTTACCCTGGAGCTGAGCTGCGCTCACCTCCCCAGGTACACTGAAGAGCCCCCTACCCATGAACCAGCAGCTGAGAGGAGGAAAGAGCCTGGACTGAGCAGGGCTGGAAGGGACCCTGGCCACATAGCAACTGATCTGTGCATCCAGCAGCGCCCCCTCCTGGCCAGCCAGGTAAGGGTAGTTTCCCAATCCTGGATTGAGTTTGGGCTCCCTGGACTAAGACAAGTCAGCTCAAGATTTCATGAGCAGATGCTGACAAGCCCCAGGGAACATTCTAGCATCCTTGATGCTTGCACACAGGGACAACAAAAGTGAAAAGCAAGACGGGCAACTGGGGCCCTTGGAGACCCCTTGGTCCCTCCAACTCCCTCTGCCGTGACTGGCATTAACCCTAAAGCTGCTAGCTGGGAACAGGGAAGCCCTGGTTATGCAGAGGACCCTTGGGTGACTCTGAGTCACCCTGGACAGCCAACTGTCTGCAGGAGGCTAGGTGAGCAGTCAAGACCGACCGGACCCCTGGACAGAGGAGCAGGCACAACAGCTGCAGTTTCCAAACCTTTGGTGGCAGACAGGGTAACCTCTTCTCAGTCCTGCCCCTTGCTGCCTGGCTCTGGTTGGTGCCCGGTACCGCAGGGACCCTGCAGACCAGTTGAAGGCGGCTTCACATGGACCTGCTTTCCCGACTCTGTGGGACCCTGGGGACAGTACTGAGCCTCTGCCCTCAGGTGCAGCCACAGGAAGCAGAAGTTCTCTGTCCACAGTCACCCTGTGTCACCGCCCACCAGAAACCTGCAATTTCACCTCATTGCGAGGCAAAGTGGCTAAATTTAGCATGGCAGGCTTGTGGGGCTAGGCTGCTTTTATGCCTGAGTCCCTCATTTATGGCCCTTTTTGTTTCTCTCCTAAATGATGGCTGGGGCTCGAATTGCCTTTGGCAGTTTCTGAAATAGCTCCCTTGGTAAGGCCTGAGAAGAACTGGTAAATCAGACCCGGATGGGAATAAGCCTAAACAAGAGGGGCGGATGACCCAGCAGAAGGCCTTGGAACCAGACTGTCTGACCCAGAGGGGCCCCAGAGGGAGCCAACCTCTCATTTTACCACATGCTCACGTGACTTGCCTGGAAGAGGAAAAAAAAACCTGACCGCCTCCCCAGCTGAGTGGATCCACTGCTCCATCAAAGCCCTCCGCTGGGGCTGCCCCGGGGCTTTTGCACTGGCTGCCCTTCTGCCAGCTTCCTCTTCTGCAGGGTCTTCCCTTGAAGCATCCTCTAAGCCTTCAGGGCTCACGGCTGAGGCCACTTCTTTCCAGAGACATCCTTGAGCAAGCCCTGACTGGAGAAGCCTTATCCCTCATTCTGCCTCA